CAAATAGTTGGAATGCAGAAAAGTCAACTAGAATAAAAAGTCAATCAGAGTGCAGAAAAAGGGCACTGGGCGCCAATTTCTTCTGTCTTACGTTTGAGCGCCACCGCTGAGCGTCAGTTTAGTGTCGCAACCACTGTTAGGCGCCTTAACTGGGGCGCTGAGTGCTAGTTTCATGGGCTTGGACTGATGACAAATTTATGAACACCGAAAAACGGCGCCAAAACCTTGTTTAACCCTCGGCAAGTATGACCGAATCGTATCAAGTAATAAACTCGGTAAGACGAAGTATTGTTCTCTCAAATGACTCACGACCTAGTTAGTTATATGATTTGTTGATTATTTTAGACTTGTGAATAAATTCTTGAGGTTTTAAATGCAAAAGACAATAACTAAACATGTATGCATGAGTTTTGATCAATGTAAAGTAGGAACACAAACACTTTGAACGAAATAGACGGATGAGTATGTTGTTGGGGTTGTTAATTTCATCTTATCCACTCTCATATACTTTAGGAAATCATCATTCTTTTCATCAATGTTAATGCCACTCTCTAAATCACCTTGCAAGAAGGTCTATCCTTAATTACGAGTTCATACAATTCCTAGCATCCCTAATAATTAATTCTGAAGCACAGAAGCTTAAAGACAACCAACCCTCATATTCCTATGTCTAGGCAATATGCTATTGGGAGAATTTCCCTGGATCTAGATTTCCCCGTACGTTCCCATATCGACAAATCAATAATCATGACATCGAATGAGTTAAACAATGCATGCTTTGAGCGAAGAGGAAAAACCCTAACTAATGATGAAAGAAAGCATGTATCTCAAATAAGATGTTTAAACACAAATTCCATATATGAGAGCTTCAAAAGATTACATTGATTCCCCAACAACAATACAAAGTTTAGTTCACCATATTCATGGTGAAGCTAGATGAACAATAATGAAAGAATGAAAGATAGAACCCTAGAAAGATGAGTAGGTACCCTTAGCATCCAAGATCTTCCTCCAAGGGGTGGAAAAGTGAGTGTTTGCTTCGTACTCTGCCAAAGATACAAACCCTAGGAAGTCCTAAAGCTTATATACTATTCGAATTATTACAGAAAAGTGGGCCTAAGCCCAAAATAGTGCCGCTCAGCGGCAAACTACCGCTCAGCAGTAAGTGTGTGAGTTGATTATTCCCCTCAGTGGCATTTTCACCCCTCAGCGGATCCAACGTGTGTTCCTGCGGTAAACTGGCGTTGAGTGGTACTTGCGGCTTCTCTTCTTTTGCACTTTTTGAGTTCTTTTCTGATTCCATCTCTATCCTTCTTCACTTCTTTCACCAAATTCACCTTAAAACCTGCATAAAACACTGAAATCAAGCATAAACCTGTCCAGCTCTCTTATTTCTAAAAATATGAACAAAAGCATGATTTCAAGCTAGTTTCTAAGTGTTAAAGGTTGCTTTTAGTATCAATTTTAAGCATGAAAATAACAGTTTTTCAACTGTTATCATGGACCCATTTTCTCTTATTTTTATGTTCTATTTAAAGACTTGCACTTCCTAGGGATTGTATCTTTTGATGGCTTGAGTATCGAAACACACTTTTCACCCCTTGGGAGTAGATTTGGGGATATGACAGCTCTCCTCTTCTCTTTTTAGGCTTTTTTTATCTCTTTCATTCTTTCATTCCATTGTTCATATAGTTTTTCCATGATAATGGGATCTAAACCTTATTTGTTGTTGGGAAAGATGTAACCTTTTAAACTCTCATTTATTGAATTGATTTATATTATAAATGCTTTACTTCATTAATTGTTAAGGTTTTTCCTCTACGCTCTATTCATGCTTTGTTTAATTCATTCAATTGCATGATTATTGATTTTCTCGATATGGACACATATGAGAAAATCCAGAACTGGGAAATTTTCTCAAAAGCAATATTACCTAGACATAGGGATAGGAGGGTTGGTTGCCTTTAAGCTTCTGTGCAAATGTAATGCATTATTAATTGCTCGGGATACAAGACATTGTGATCTAGTAATTAAGAGTAGACTTTCTTCACCGAGACATCAAATTTAAGGTAAATTAGAATGTGGCATTAACATTAATGAAGAAGATGAATTCTTATACGCATGAGAGTGATTAGGTGAAATCTAAACCCTAACAACATATTCATCTCATATTTTCAATATCATCCATTCACCCTTGTGTTTAGCCTCAATTGATCAAATTTGCATTCATGTTTATTTTTATTGCATTTTCATTCAAAAACCCCAAAAATTGTTCGTAAGTCTTAATTGGTTAAGCGATTACATAATTGTTTAGTGCTGTGAGTCTCTTGGAAAACGATACTTGGTCTTACCATTTATTATGACTTGATACGATTTGGTACACTTGTCAAAGTGTTAACAGCAGGCCAGTCCACAAGGGATTCCAAATCTAAATTCTTGGTCTTAAGGACCAAAATTCCAATTCTACCCTTCCCATTTTAGAATATCATTGATGTGGCATTTCTCTTTAAGTCCCAAAATGTATTTATGAAATTTTCGTGCAATCAATAATGAAAATAATAAGCTCAGATAATTGAAATTAATTCAAATAAGAATTTCTGGTCAAATTAAGCACAATTAGCAAAAATGGAAAAATACTAGACATGCAAGCACCATTCCCTAATTAAATATAGCCCAATAAGCTAAGTGAAGTGAAGAAAATATTGACTCATCAGAAAGATAAACCCAAAAAAAACAAAGAGGAGAGCTTTCACATCCACTTCTTCCTCTAGAGAGTTGGAAAAATCTTAATTTGTGTCAATTCTGTCAAAAGATACTCCCTCTAGGACGTCCAAGTCCTTATATATAGCTGAATTGGATCATGGGCCTATGTTGACACCGCTCAGCGCCCCAACTTAGGGCGCCTAGGCGAGCTTGCGAGAGGAGTGGCGCTCAGCGCCCCAAGAAGGGTGCCCAAGCGTGAAACATTACATAAAGATTGACGCTCAGCGCTCCTAAAAGGGCGCGCAGACGTGAATGCGAGACTCCAACGTTGAGGGCCCCAGAAAAGGGCGCCTGATAACGGTTTAAAATACCGTTATCTGTGATGTAATTTTTATACTAAATACACCCTTTTTGACTTAGAAACTTGCTTGGACTCATGCTTTTTCATTAAGTTGTGTGAATAAGAGAGTTGAGGTTGAATTTGATGACTAATTCCCTTTGTTTTGATAGAAAATGAGTTAATACAGGAAGCAAAGATGAAGTGCTAAGGATGTAGAGCTCAGAAAGGCCTAGAAAAGCACCAGAAAAGGGAACCGCACGAAGCTTATGCGACCTATAGGAGGCTTGAGCGTGGAAAATCAACGCCCGCCGCCTGGGCAGGTTAGGCTGCCCGGCCATCGAACCCCGAAGCTTGGGAGAAATTGAAGGCTCAAGCCCTACAGAAATCGACGTCCACCGCCCGAGCGCCCTAAATGGGCGCCCGAGCATCGTGCGTTGCACATCCGGCCCAGATTTTGCTCTATTTCAACTCTTTTGGACCGGGCCCTGTTTCTACTCTATTCCAACTCTTTTTAAAGGACCCAGACACTCTAGGTTTGGTATCTCTGGTTGGAACAACACACTCTTCTACTCTTCTGGGATACGATATTTGGTCTTACCACATGTGTCTGATTCTCATCATAAAAGCAATCAAGCAACATTCAAGAGGATAGAGAAGCAGCTCTGTCACATGATTAAGAAGCTGGATGATCTGGGGAGTAACCTGAAAGCCAACTCCAGAGAAAAATGCAACGCTATTATTACTATAAGTGACAAAGTTTTAGATGAGAGGTTGAGTGAAAAAGAAAAAGAAGAGAGTGAGAGAAAAGAAAAAGAAAGGTTTAGTGAAAAAGAAGATAGAGAGAAAAAAGAAAAAGAAGAGAGAGAAGAAAACAAAAGGAGAGAGGAAGAAGATGAGAGAAAGAAAAAATAATCTTATGAAAAAACCCTTCCTTACCCAAAGAATTATTCAAGGAAGGAAAAAGAAAAACAGTTTGAGCGTTTCATGGAAATCTTCAAGAAATTGGAGATTACTATACCCTTCTCTGAAGCTTTGCAACAAATGCCTTCATATGCTAAATTTTTAAAGGAGCTCCTTACAAAGAAAATGAAGTACATTAAAGAAGAAACTATTGAAGTTCAAGGAATAACATAAATGAAAAATTAGTAATAGTAATAGTGTTATTTGCTTACATGAGTCTTCCGAGATCTTTCATCAACAAATTGATTAGTGCCCTTTCTTACATGAGTCTGTGCAAAGACCTCATCAACATGGACCACCCGTCCTAGAGCTTGTGCCTGTACCATATAAAATTTACAATTAGAAGTGTACATATGGAATAGAAAATACATAACTTATATATGAAAGAAAAACTCATGGGATGAAATTTTACCATATGAATGGCATGCTCATGAATGGTTATCGACCCACCAGTATGCAGGGTGTCACCCTTTTCAGATGCTCTGTTCCTCTGGGCTTTGGCACACTTATTGCGAAACTCTAATGTGTTCCAGTGAGTCAGTATAGAGTTCCAAATTTTTTCGCCCAGCCAGTAAGGGCGCTCTCCTGAATTGCGGGCATCCCTAAAATTCTTTGACAGTCGATGAGATGCTTTCATGTGGAAATTTCTTTGTATCTGTGTTTCATGTTCAGGTTTCCAGTGCACCTTTATCTGTAACATTAAACAGAACAAACATTGATTAACGAACATACTAAAATAAGAGGGCCAATTAGTTTAATGGATTGTTCACCTAAAAGCGCTCTCAGAATGGTTTTTTGTCGTCATCAGGTATTGTTCCCCAAGTAGGCCATGGACTTAAAAACTATTGCTTAATTGAACGTGTTATGGCTTGGGAAGCAACCCTAGATGGAATAAACCTGCATAATAAAAGTCATTTGAATTACAGTAGGGTTTAAACATCAAAATGGTTAAATAAGGGATTAAAATTTTACCCTTTTCCATACGGCTCAATCCTGGTCAACCATGGAGGGGCAGGTCAAGACCTTCACCACCACCACTTGAATCTGGATCAGCAGATGGTGTGACAGTCTTAGAAGGTGGTATACAAGATGAGGAAGGTATAGAAGTAGGGTCAAGGAGAGGAGTGGGGGTAATAACCACAGGGGGAGGAGTGGGGGTTATAATCACAAGAGGAGGAAGAGGGTCTGCTGTAGGGGTAATAGAAGGATGTACTGCAAGGGTAGGAGAAGGGTGTACTGCAGGGGTAGGATAAGGGTGTATTGCAGAGCTAGGAGTATGGTCTACTGTAGGGGTAGGAGGCTATATTGTAGGGGTAGGAGGAGGCCCTACAGATGATGTACTGCAGGCAACAATGGTAGGTAGTTTAGCAGGCACCCTAAGTACATACTTTGGTGCATGTCGTTGCCTCTTTTTAGGCCTTGCTACCCCCTTTCCTTTATCAGGACGTTCTGAAACTTGTCCTGTCATTACTACATTGAAATGGTAACAAATAAAGCGAATAAATAGAAATGAATAAGGAAGGATCAATGGTTTTTAAAGTCAATGTATAAATAATTGCATACAACTTTTAAGATGGTATTTTAAATAACTCTATTCAAATGATAGGCAAGTAGAACATGGACTTTAAGGGAATTGGTTTTTTTTGCCTCCGTCCAACATGCATCGTATGATATCGAGGTGAGCCACAAAACTTGCATTCAACCAACAATGCATCATTTTTACCACTGTCATTATCATAGAATAACAAACATTCATTAACACAACAATCAATCTTCTTGACTTCCAATCCCAACTTTGAAACACATTTTTTGGCTTGGTAATAATTCTTCGGCATAAAATTGTTTGGTGGTGTCAAATCTAACATCAATTTTGTATAGAAGTCCACTGCTTGAATGAGAACGTTCCAATTCGATTTGCCAGCCATGAGTCTAATGCACACTGACAATTTTGACTCAGATGAACCTTCAAATACAGGTAGATTTGCCTCTGTCAGTAAATTGTAAAACCTCTGAGTGCTTTTGATGGAAGAGGGATCCAGCTGATTCTGGTGCAAGATGGAATCAACGGAACTTCTCTAGGAGCTTCTGGAATCTGAACTGGAAAGAAGGATGACACATTTGGTTGCAGCGGAAGAAGATGAAATATGATGACTATGACCAGAGGAAGATTAAACTCTGGAACCACTCTTCAACAGTGTTCGGTGACTGGATTGAAGGAGAATGGATGATTCAGTTTATGAAGATAAGGTTGAGGCAAAGGAAGATTGAATCAAACAGTGATGCTGAAGAAAACAGATGAATCAGTGATGGAGAAATGGAATGAGGGAAGTGGTTTAGGTGCTGAAATATGTTACGGAATGTGCAGAGGAATGCTAGGAATGGAAGCCTAGCTAGGAGAGAGGCTAGAGGAAACACTCATCTCTCTCGGTGACCTTCAATAAGAAGAAAGTTCTGGACATCAACAGAAAACTATTCTTCATTCAAATCAAAGGTAAAGGTTACAAGCAATGGAGCAAGCTATTTAAAGGAGAACAAGCTCCTGGTTTCATGCCTATTTAGCTAACGTTAGCTATGATGCAAGGGCCAGCTGTGCAAGTGGAAAGAAAACGTGAGTGGCTACGTGGCCTATCAAACAAAAACTGGTGAAGAACGTGAATGGAAACTGGTGCATTTGTTGACGCTGGGCGCAAACCCTCATCTGCTGAGCACTAGGCTTTCTTTAACTTCAACCAAGCTGCTGGTTGGAATGTGACTCATGTGGGCTTCCAAAGCAGCTTACTATGCATCTAAGTGAAGATTCCAACATTCCTCTAAGTGAAGATTTGGCTTGCTTCTTCATTCTTGATGTTTCCTTGCTTCTGATTTATCAAGTTTCTTGGCTAGTTGATCCATGATCTCCTAGCGTTTATTAGACCCTACAAAACACTATAAACATATTAAAGATAATCCTACTAAGACTTAGATAAAGAAAATTAAGAAAGAGTCTTTAACAATCCTTCTTCACTTCCCTTCTTAGCCTTAGCTTAAGTTGATACTCCTTGAATGGAATGCCCTAACTGGTTTCCATCATACCCTCCCTCTTGAAAATGATTTGTCCTCAAATCGGAAAGATATAAAGAAGCACAACTTTGGTT